TTCATAGTTGATTTGTTGATCCAAGTGTTTGTAGGAAGTTGAATTTAAGTATTCTAAGCAATTGTTTGATAAATAATTTGTATAGAATATATATTCTAAAATTTTGCGTGGATTCTAACATTTGATGAGAGGGGTGATTTCAAGTTAATTCCAAATATCCTATTTTGGTGTAATGAATCTCCTATTAATTTACTCAAGGTGACTTTGAGACAACAATTTTAAATAGTATATTTATAGGTCAGCTATATTTGTATTTGAGTTTTCTAAACTATTGTTATTATTGCAAAATCAATAACAGACTATTTTCAAGCATCATATACCACCAATGTCACATCTGCGCTAATCATCCTATTCACTAAAAGTATCATCAACCAAAATAACCAAAATCAACTAACTTCTTGCTCCAACTTCAGGAAATGCAATTTTTTTTATATTTTTTATTTATCAAAAATTTATAAGAAATTTAATAATTAACATAATTATAAGAAATCCTAACATAATTAAGTAAAAAAACTCATTTCAAAGAAGTAAAAATGAATTCCTTATATAAGACAACATTAGAAACATATTTATTAAAATCAACACTCTAAAAGAAAACAATCATAATGTAATAACATAATAGAATTATTCAATTTTAAAATAAACTTATAAAAATAAAAAAGAAAATAGATGTTACCATAGAAATTCAAAAACAAATACTTGGAATTAAAATAAAAAACATCTAAATAAATTCTAAAGAAAAATTACAAAAAATAAAATGAAACATATTAGGGCCACTTTTGGTCCATTTTCATTAGATCTATAAGGAGAGCTATTTTTTTTCTTTCAAAACTCGCTAAAAGACTTAAAATCCAATAAATCACCATGCATGCAAGGGAAAATAATAACAAATTGAAAAATAATAAAGCTTATAGCTAAAATTAAGTACCTTCTAGAGGTCTTTTGCTTTAACAACACTCTTCGAGGTTAGTCCAATATCATTTCAATGAATTGTTACAAAAGTATGAATTAGACCCTTGTCAAATAGAATCATGGTTATTTTATAGCCAAAAAGAGACATTGTTCAAGTCTATTAAAAAGTAAAGAAAAAAAGGTAAAAGTGATAAATTTAAGCAAAGTAAGACAAATAAACATATAGTGGACCATAAAGAAGTTGTATAAATTTTATTTCTTCATCACCTTACATATTAACATTTTTAATTTGAAAACCATAAAGATCTATTGCATGCCATAATATAAAGTAAAAAAATGGATAATTATTAATATGTAGGAATTACATGAAGTGTGGAACATAATGTCTACAAATTGCTCACATAGAATAAAACAACATTAAATAATTTATACAACAAAAAAGAAAGTCTATTATGGGTATAAAAAAATAAGTTACAAAGTAATCAAATGATTGGATTTTTACCTAGAATGAAATTTACTTGATTGAGTCATTTTTTAAAGCCATCAGAGAAATCAATCCTTCAAATTTTATAAAATAGTGTCTAAGCTTGAAAAAATATAGCTATTGGAATTGAAATTTTGAGAAAAAATAGCATATGATAGAAGGTTGATAAAAATCATTTTAAAAATCAACAAATATAGCTCTACTAAAGAATAAAATGAATAGAATAAAAGAGCTAACAAAAGACAATATAAAACAACTTACCATAACATTATCGTAACATGGAGCATAACATTATTTAATATTAGCTAACAAAACTTATGTATCTGTTTTCATACATCTTAAACTATAACAAACTTTTTCATGATGTAGTTGTGTAAAAAAAAATCTAAGTTCAATTGAAAAGTACCTAATTTCTTTGTTTTTAGACATAAGCTAGTTTTGTTAATAGCCAAAACTATATCCACAAGAAATAGCATTCAAACCAAAAAAGCACGTTAAAAAATAGAATTAAAAAAAAACATGTATATATTTTTATGCCTAAATTATTAAGCATAACAATAAATTATAGTTTTAAAAGCACGTGTGAGTGATAGCAAAATAATTTTTTAAAAAAACAAATCAATAGTCAGCATAATTATGTAAACAAATCAAAAATCTACATCACTATCAAGTTTGAAAATAAAAAAATATGACTTTTAAAAGCCTCACTATAAAAGAGTGGCAAGAAACTAGGTTTTGTAATTTGACGAAAAGAATAAACCTAAAATGGGAGTAACAATTTTTACAATTATGAAAAAAGTTTAAATTTGAATAGATATGAAATATTGTAAAAAGAACATCAATTGAAGACCAATCTTATTTAGGTATAGACTTTTGACCTGGTTTACTAATGCTTAAATAGATTCAATATCATTTAAATTTTGTATGATGGGTTCATGCACTATCATCAACCTTTTAAAAGAGGATTTTCAAGCTAATTTCTCTACTTTTACAGTGGGTGGTGCATTTGAGTGTGTTTAACATAATTAAGTATTGCAAAAGATGTTTTATTCAAAAATGAAGTATTTTTTACAGGCATATAAAGAGCCACAACTATGCAAAAGTTTCCTATGGGTTGGTCAACATCAGAATTAACGCATTAAAGGGTTTTATGTACTTTCCATCCATTTCTATAACTTTCATCGTATGTTTAGCCACCTTAAAAGAGTGTTCCATATCAAAAACAACATTAATGATGTTATTCCCCCTTTATAACATTAATAGTGAATACATTTGCACAAAATTAAATAAAAAAAAACCTCAACATCAATAGTTAACAGTTAAGAAATCAAGATATATTTGTTTGTTCAATGAACTAAAAAAGGTACCATTTTTTGAACAATTATGGGGGACTAAAATCACCATTCAAAATGTAAACATGTGAACTTGAAAGATCTTTTAATTCTTTCACATGTCTTTCTAAGTCTTGGATGTTTCGAAGCTAATACCTTTTTTTGTGAAAACAATATGCCGAAAAAAAAAAGCAAGGCAAATTTTTTATTCATATCGATATATATCCTTACAAACTAAGAATGCTTAATGAATAACAAATGAGCCAAAAAGTATAAATTAAATGTCTAATACAATTACAAACTCTTTAACGAAAGGCTCAAACGAATAACCAACACCTTGTTTGGGATAGATAATGAAGGGACCATGAACTATTGCTCTTATCTATGATATGTGATGTGAAGATGCTAAAAGATTGTGCCTCGTTAGTAGAGCAATGTAAACCTTTATTTAAAACTTTACCTCACCTATATTGGACATTAAGTTCTATAGGTAGAGCCATGAAAACACTTAGGTTTTGCTACACATACCTTCATCAATCATGAAAATTTTAAAATTTCAAAAATAAATAAATAAAAATGTAGAGAAAGAGCAAATTACTTCCAAATGGAAGGAATAAAATGGGGTTGATTCCAACATTGTTAAACATCAATCGATGCATCACTATGCTTTATTATTATTTTTTTTCTCTTTTTCCACCATGCCTCCCCTTTTATGTTAGACATCAAACTGTCTCCCTTTCTTCCTTTTTTTCTTTTCATATCTTTTTCTTTTTGGCTTTTTTTTTATCATCTATCTAAAAAAAAACTATTGATTTTTTTTTCATGAAATTATTTGCCACTTAAAGACGAATTCTTACATCTACTCTAATTCAATCTCATCTTGAGTTTAAGAAAAAAAAAATCATTCCCTTATTAATTGTTTCTCTCAATTGCCTAATTGATTTTTTTTTAACTTTATCCCTTTTCCAAACCCTTTTCTTTTTTTCTTTTCAACCAAAACTTTATCTTTTTTCTAGACTTTTCCTCTTTCTTTTTTTTTTCTACCAAATATCCTCAATAAATAATAAATTCCCTTTCAATCCTAATTGGATAAGTTATCACACTAGCTTTTACTTGAAGATAAAATTATACGTTAGTTAAGATAATTAAAAAAAAAACCAACTTATGAGAGAAAGAGGTGTTCGAGTCAAGTTGACCCACGCCACCCTTTTGATTTTTTTTTTTACACTTTATAAAACCCTAATTTTTTTTTTGCTTCATTTTTCATTTTTCCTCTTTCTTCTTCTTAAAAAAATCTCATTTATATTAAAAACAACAATGCCTCTTCTCGGACTTCAAATTTAGGCTAGATTACTATTGTCACCGTCATTGTCTAGTTTGTCCTCAAAATTTCACCACTGATTATTTTAACCTTCTGTATACTATTCCAAACTCCCATTTTTAAAAAAAAAACTTCTTAAAAGCCTAGATTTAAAATCAAAACCGAAACTTTTAAGCCTTAAAATCTCTTTTTTCCTCTATCCGATCCTCTTAAGATTTTGATATGTTGCTATCCTCTTTTCACTTTTCATTTTCACTGTTCTCAATTACTCCAAAAATTCGTGCAACTATGAGCTATTATGTGTCATCGTGGTTTCTGTCGCTGCTTGTGACCCATAAATGGCCTCCATTTCTTTTTCCTATAAAATATCTCCAAATCAACTAAAAATCTTCAAAACTAAAACCTTTTCCCACTTTTTTTTTTTTTGTTTTTTTAACTCTTTTTGACACTACTTTTCTTTGTTGGATTTCTTTTTTTTATGTGTGATTTTTTTGGAACTATTTTCTATAACTTCTCTTTGATAAATTTGTTGTGTTTTGGGGTAACCTGAGTCTGATGGTGGAAGAAAATGTTGTTTAAAATCAATGAGAGACTTGGGATTTTTAATGGTGACGTAAGTGGCCTGTGGTTCAAAATGTTCAAGGTTGAAGGTGACAAAATATATTTTGATGGGTGACCAATGGGTTTTTGTGTGAAAATCGTCTAATAATTTTTTTAAAAGATTCTGGAGAAACTTTTTTTAAAATTATCTTTTAATTTTTTTTACATTGCTTATTTGTCTATTCAATATAAAATGGAGATAATATTTATTTTAAGTTATAGATGGATTATTATTATTATTATTATTATTATTATTATTATTGTTATTATTATTATTAATTTTCGTTTTTTTTAAAGACTTAACATAAATAAATAAATAAATATATAAACAAAACACGCCAAATAGGTTTTAGGTCTTTCAAAGGAAGAAGCCATATCCACTGAAGTCCAAGACACAACGGCTGTCTACAAAATTCTCTCTCTGTTTCTGTCTCTCCGGTTTTCTTTCTGTAGGGTAAAATTTTTTATTCATCTTTTGCAGTGGGTTTGCAATTGCATTATTATTATTGAATTTATTGATGATTAATTTTGTGAAAAAAGTGAAAGCCTTAAAAATGGGTGGGTTTGTGGGTGGGTTTTTTTTTTATGACCAATTCATAGATTTTACACATTGGTGGTTCAAATGTCGGAGAAGGGAGGCAAAGGGTTTTCATTGCCCACCAAAACAGCACCCAAATCTTCTCTCAAATCTACCCCTGCTTCTGCTACTGCTAGACATGGTTTGATTTTCTTCTCTTTCTCCTTCTGTATCTTATTTTTCTTTGATTCATGAGACGTATTCCGCATGCATGCATTCTTTCTCTTTCTTCTGTAAATATTTTTTGTTATCCTTTACCAATCTTCTTGGCTCACCCTTCTTCCATGGCGTCATTGAAAAGGAAAAGATGAAAATTCAGCAAAACCAAGGAGAGGAAGGAAAGTTCAGTTTGGAACCGAAGGTCCTTTTTCCCTTTGTTTTTTGAGTTTATCCTTCTGTGAACATCTGTTTCTTTTATCTTTATTCTCCTTATAAATCCTACTCTTCCTATTTTTGTAGGTTCACATGATCTTAAATTTAATTTCTCATCACCAAAATCCGATGGCAAGTTTGCAACCCCTATTGGTAAAGGTACTATCCCTTCATCAGCTCTTGGGTTTTGGGGTAAAGGGGTTAACTTTTTTTTTTTTTAGAACTACTGTATTTTCTATGGCTATTACCTGTTTTTATTGATTCCGCATATAATATAATGTAAAAGGTGACTGGGCCAAGGGAGGAAAAGGAGGCAAGGTAGCCAATGGGGGAAAGACTCCTGTGGCAAAAGAAGCACAGTCATTGGAGCTCAGAGTTGAACAGGGTTTTTACTTGCCTTAACTGCTAATGTGTTTCTTTTGAGGATTTGTTACTCTTTGTTTACCAATTTAATTCTTTGCTACAGTCAGCATTTAGGTTGTATTTATTGTTTGGTTAAATGATTAACACTACTTTCAGGCATGGACTTAAATAGCGTCCACGACGCGGTATAGCGGCCGCTATTTAGCGTTTGCCCGCTCTCCGCCACCGTTATTCACTGCAATGGAGGTGTGAATTGTCATTCACACAAATAGCGGTATATCGGTGTATGCATCCGCAAATAGCGGTATAATGGATGCTAAAACCATTATGTGTGCTTTTCTTTAATATATCTATGAATTTTATAGCATATTGATTCTGAATTATAACTAAAATATGTGAAAATTTGTTTTAGCCTATAAATGTAAGATTAAAATATTATAAATTACTTTAAATATCATAAATAAATATTATTATTTCAAACTATTCTTTTGCTTTATTTTATGATAAATTGTGAAAATTTTTAAAAAAATTCACAACCACGATGAGCACAACTACTGTTATCTTATCCGTTATGTTTGTAATTGTGATAAACGCGACATGAAGGCTGTGACTGCATTTTAAATCCTTGCTTTCAGGTGTAGGACTTGGAAACAAAAATTGCTTCTTTGCTAAGAATTTTAATTAGATTGCTTATTGTAGTGAGTGTGCATGCCATGGCACTCAATGTATAGATACGTAGTATTTTTCATTTTAATAATCTGCAATACATCTGTTTTCAAGGGAGTAAATCCTTTTTCTTTTTCACTTTTATTCTAAGTATGTATGCTAGAATTCATAACTGTAATCTTCTTTTCTTCAAGCATGAAAAATGTTTGGTGATGGAGAATTAGAAATTATGCTGTTAAATTGCCAAAGGAATATATTTTCTTTCCAATTGCCTTGTCGTGTGTTTTCCCCCCAATTTATAATGTTCTTGTTAGATCAATTTGCTGGCCAGTACTTTTCTTTGTGCTGATATAGTGTAATTACAACTTTCTTCATGTGTTACGTACTGGTTTTCTTTTGGCACCTGGATTTTTATTTCTTTATTTATTTTTAGATTGGTTCTTGAACTTTGTTGTAGTTCCTCTTCTTTTGGCCTTGTTATTTCTTTTATTTTCTCTCAACTATTCATCATGCACTTTGTAAAAATATAGGTTCTTTCTTTCTTTTTCTTTTTTTCTTTTAATTTGCCTTGGTTTTAAGATTCATCTTCTTCTTTTCTTTTCTTTTTTTTTTTTTTAAATTAGTCTTGGTTTTAAGATTCATTTTTTTTTTAATTTTTCATTTTATTAGTATTGGTTTTCAGATTCATATCTGAAGCTTTTGCTTAGATTGGAAAGGTCCTTGCCATTATTTGCAGAACTTCCAAAAAATGTTAAGTGCCTTATGGATTGTGAGGCTGCAATTATCTTAGAAGGCATTCAGGAACAAATGGTTATACTCTCTGAAGATTCAACTATTAAGCTCCCTGAGTAAGAACTTTTTTACAACTTTTGATCTTATGTGGAAGGATTCATCAAATAGCTCTAACTTATCATCTCTTTTCAGATCATTTGATTTGGGACTGCATTATGCCAAGACTGGTTGCTATTATACTAATCCCCAGTCTGTTAGACGAGTTCTTGAGTATCCTTGATTTTCCTTTTTCAATGGCACTTCTATATAGACATTTTTTTCTTTTTTGTTGTCACTGGTTGCTTTACATGAAATCTGTCTATTGTGCTCTATCTCCTGTTGAACCATTAACTCAAATCTCAGGGCTCTTTCAAAATATGATGTCTCTTACAGTGAGGTATCGGGTCTTAACCTGAGTGATTAATATTAAACTATCATGCTGTTGTCTCAGTTACAAATTGTTGTTGCAGATTTGTGTGATTGCAAATACTTGTCCAGAAACTGTTGATGAAGTTTTTGCACTTGTCCAATCCTTGGAGGTATGACTAGTATGTATACTTTTATTTGATAGATGAAATTGTTTATTATATCCCAAGGAGAGTAGAATGAGAGTTGTTGTAAAACAAAGAAAAGATAGTTTGAAGTTTTTATTGCTTGATCTAGGCTAAGAGAAGGGGGCTCAGTGAACCACTTAAAGATGTACTGGATGAGCTAGCTAAACTTAAAAAATCCACCTGATGCCATGCGCGGAAGCTGTGGTAAGATGGCTTTTTCTGGGATTTTACTGCAGTAGGTTATAGGTTGTGATTATTGTTTTGGTTGTACTGATAAACTGTGTGCATGTGTCTGATAAACTGACTGTTTGGGGGTGTGGAATGTGCTTATTTTTCAGGGGAAGCCTTATTTGAAAGGAATTGCCTCTTCCTGTTGTTGATGGTTGTAGCCTCCATTTTCATGACCAGGGATTAGCTGGACCTCGTGCAGGATATTAGTGCAGGATATTATAACTATCGGTTCTTATCATGTGAATTTGTGGTTGAATAAAGATATTGTTATCTGTTGCAGCATTATTTTATGGTGTGTGTTCGTTGCATGACCGGTATGTTAATATTTTGAGAACTGAACCTCTCAGCAATCCTTTGATATGGAAACACTAGTTGGATGGTCTGCTATCTTCTCTTATCTTCCTTGCTTTATTTATTACTTTTTTCGACTCTGTTGACTTTGCACTTATTTGTATATATCCGTAAAATGAAAAAAGGGATAGAAATAAAATTCACTTTCCTTTTCCTTTTTATCCATTCATTTGCACGGTACGAATTAGACTCTGATTATCACATTTTACTCTGATTCTTGATTAGAAAGAGGGATAAAGGAAAAAATAAAATTGCGATCAGTTTGTGCCAGTGGGGGATAGATTTTATTGCGGCAACTTCTACAAATTGTAATTGATATGCTTGAAAAAAGAAAACATCTGTAGTGAATACTAAGTACATGAACGCATATTGTAACGTTGATACAGGTAAGCTGTGGCAATAATTCGCCTAGGACTTGACAAAATCAGGCTGATTGGTGACAGATCTGACCCACGCCCATTTATGGTCCTTAGTGTTCACTTCATTCTTTGCCGTTAACAGGACCAGAGACAAAACCAGCATACCCAGCCATTACCCCATGAATTGCTGAGTGAGCCAGAAGTGTACAGTACAAGTTATCGGTAACATTTGCCGGAACTGCTCTTATCATGTAAGTAGGATCTATATACCTCACCGTAAACAATTGTTTTGGGTGGTGTCTGTCCCACCATTTGTTGAGCTCTGATTTCAACCACGCACCAACATCTAGGGAAACCAAGTTGCCAGACTTATCCCTTTCTTCTTTCTGGGCATCACTTCTGGGTATCAAATCCTGCCCTGCCCCTTCAGCAATAACCAGCACTGCGTGCCCGTTTTCTTCCGGCCTTTGTTCAAGAAACTCAAATAGCCCTCCCTCGCCTTCCAAGTAAAATTCAATTTCAGGAATTAAACAGCAGTCCACATCACGGCTGCTCAATGTTGCATGAAGGGTTATATGCCAGGTGCGTCGACCCATTAGCTTTACTGAACAAGTTCCATTCACTGCACTCTCTGCCTCCACATGAGCTGCATGGATTGCTTGCTGGACCATTTCTACGGCTGTCTGGAACCCAAATTATCTATCAATTATGCCTACATCATTGTCAACGGTTTTTGGAATTCCAGCAACTCCGACTATCAATTTCCGACTGCGAATCTCCTCAAATATCCTTTTAGCACCACGCATCGTGCCATCTCCGCCTATAATGTAAACCTATTGGTACACATTGAGCAAGCAAATGATATATATATATATATATATATATATATATATATACACACACACACATATACATAAGCTCCAGAACGCAAGCACTAAGTCAAATTATAATCAAGAAGTAGGCCAGGCTACAAGAAGAAACCCAGCTGTTGTGAACAAGGGACTAGTTAATACATATAGCACATGCACAGATATATTAATCAGGATAAAATTGACTATTTGAAAATGATACATGAAGTAAACAGATCAAATAAATGCTCTACTGTCCTGTCAACAATCTTCAATTCTTTTTCAAGCTCTCAAGGGAGATATATAGGTCGTGGGTCTTTCTAAATCCCAACAATTTTATTTATTCCTGCGTTATTCTTTTCGATTGTTTCAAAAGAGGTCCAAATCGAACTGATAGATTCTTTAGATGGTAATCATATGTGTTAAGAAGCTTGCTCTTTTAATCAATTCTTTTATTCTGCATGATAGATACTGAGGAATTTGGATGCAATTGAAAGGTTGATGATGGCCACCGTTGGGAGTTGATTTGGAGAAATACTGAGCTGGTCAATCTCAATACACTACTCGTCAGTTAAAAAACAAATCAAACACCAGAAAAAAATGATAAACTAGATGATTACAGTGAGGTGAATTAAGAGGCAAGTCAATGCTTATATCCACCAGGCCGATTGAGAGAAAACTGGAAACTGGCATCTCTATTCTATTCTTTAATTAGGTCGAAGAAATTTGAGTATACATTGATTTTACAGGTGTTCAGACTCCAAGAATATGTTGGAGCATAGGGTTGTGAAGAATTTTCTTCTTCTTCTCTCTCTTCTCTCTATTCTGGTTCTTCCTACTTCGTTCTTCTTCTGTTATCTTCTTGCTATGTTCATTAATTTTTGGCACGCATCAAAAATATGTTTGGTTGTATATGCATAAGAACTTTGGAATAAAATCTATGTTATTTTTACATGTTTAGAAATTTAAAATGGGATATCTAATTAAGGATTAATTGATTCTTTTTTATATATGACTAATGTTAGGCTTTAATAACTTACTAATGTCATAATATATAGATTTATAGATCTATCATTAGACATAGATTAAAATAATCGCTATCAATCTTTTTGTTAAAGTATGATTGATTACTTAATTAAATATATCATTTTTAAAGAGGAGTCCTAACATTAATTTAAGTATTTTTAAATAGTAAATTATAATCCACAAAACTAAAGTTTAGATTCAGGAGTACAGTTATGCTTAAAGAATGTTATAGCACCCTCACAATGCCTATTCAAAAAAATGTTATAGTTTGATTTCAAATTATCAAAACTTTAAAATATATTTATAATTTACCAAATAATTTTAATATTAAAAATTTTTCTTAAATTACTCCGATATATAGGTAATAATTTAAGATATTTTCTCACTTTAAGAGTATTTAAATAAACTATTTGTCACGTTTTGAAGAGGTTCTGTCGTTGGATTTACTTAATTTTGTTTCTAGAAATAAATACTTATAAATCGAATTTATAGTCAGAAATATCCTCCAATCTGTTGGTAAAATTTTCCGTTGAAAATTATCCTCCAATCTATTAGTAGGATTTTATGCAATAAGACAAAAAAATATAATTTTATTATTTTTTAAAACTTGATTTTTTTAGAAAATTACAAGTCTTTCCAATATGTTGGTAAAATTTTATTTTGAAAATAAAATATTGGTCTTCCGATTTGTTGACAAGACTTTTTATTTTTATTTTTTTTAAAAATAAAAAAAGTTTCGAAGGCTTTTTAATATGTTGGTAAAACCCTATTTTTTAAAAAAATGATTACCTTCTAATTTATTGATAAGGCTTTTATTTAATATGTTTTTATAAAAATATATTTAAAAAAAATAAATAATCAAATAAATAAAAATAAAATAAAATAAAATAACCTAAAGTCAGCTCAACTAAGCAGCTAGGCTATGCGACTTACTAAAATAAACCTTCACAATTTTAGATTTTGCAAAGAATTCTAAAAAAAAAAAAAAAAAAAAAAACTACTGTAAGAAATCATATATATTTTTTTGAACAAATTTTCTTTCCTTTTTCTCTCAAGAGTTTTCGTATAAACTTTTTCTCTATCCCTATTCTTTGTCTACTTTAAAACAACTTATAGGAATTTTTTAATAAAAAATTTTAGGGTTCCATTGATTGTCAAGTATATTCAAAGATTTTTTAAATTCTTTTAATTTAGGTAAAATCAATTTAACAAAAACCTTAGCTTTAATGCTCTGTGATCCTTTTTGATTTGATTTTCTATTTCATGTAGGTTAAGAAAAAATCCTAAAAATTCCTCTTTGTTCGATTCTTGTATAGGATTTCCAAAAAAATTTGTTTGATTTTCTTTTCTTTTCTATTTATTTAGTTTTTATTAAAGAATAACAGACAAATAAAAAAAATTTTTGTTAGGGTTAAGTTCACATCAAAGTAAACATACATTGGGCTTAAAGCCTAACAATATCAATAAAATCACAACTGAAAATTTGGATGCATGCCCCAGATAAAAATGGGTGTCTATAATTGCCTTTTTTTACACATTCCTGTGAAACAAAAATGATGTAAAGACATAGATAACCATTGAGTCTGGTTCAACTCAAGCAATTTTAAAATGATGCAATTTTCAAAAAATTTTAAAGAATTCCTCTAAAAAAAGGCATAAAGCTTAAAAACTTTGATAACTCTTCTAAACAGAGATTCAACAAACTAAACTCCTATATATAAAGGCAAACAAATTTAAGTTAAGAAATGGGCTCCTCTATATAGAGACTAAACAACTTTAAAATAGGATCCTCTATATAGAGGCTAAATAACTTTAAAATAGGAAATGGGCAAGGTTAAATAACTTTAAAATAGGAAATGAGCTCTTCTATATAGAAGTTTAAAAACTTTAAAATAAGAAATGGTCTCCTCTATACAAAGGCTAAACAATTTTAAAATTAAGAAATGGGCTCCCCTATATAGAGACTAAAACAACTTTAAATTCAGAAATGGGCTCTTTTATATAGAGGCTCAACAACTTTAAGAACTTTAAATAGGAAATTATTAGCCTTGAATTGATCCTTAGTTTGAAATGACAAAACATTAAACTAAATAAACTTGATCAATATTTTGAAAAAGATTTATTTAGTACATGTTCTTAAGTTTTATATTTTGGTACTAAATAAATAATACATTTTTCATACTGTAAACAACCCTTTTTTTTGTTTTCATATTTCTTAAACTAAATCTATCTTTAAAAATTATTTATTTAAGCTTAAATGAAAGTTCAATTGTTGTTTTTAAAGTGAACTTATTCATTTTAGACTTAATACAATTTTAATAATATTGGTTTTTAGAAATAGATTAATTTAGGAAAGTTGTTTTACAAGAACAAAGTTTTTCAATATTGAACTTATTTTATTTTTTTGTATTAATTTACAAAGCTTTAACATTTGAATTTTATATAGTTAAAAAGTTCTTTGAGTTTACTTTCTAACGAATCAAAGAAAATCAAAATCAAAATTTTTTAAGAAAAGATTTTAAATTTTTACTAGACACTTTGTAGTTGTCTAAAAACTACACAAATGATAGATTTGAAAATTTACTATAATTCGTACATAATGAATTAGGTGATGAATTTTATATAGATAGAAAGCCTTTTAAGTCTAGTTTCTAAATCTTCATACTGCTTTTTTATTTGGATTTATATAACTCAAGATATAATCAAATTAGTGAGTAGAGTGCAAAACAAAAGATAACCATCTAGCTTTGACAGGATCGATCCTTTTAGGGAAGTGATTGATTGATTTTTTACCCAGAATGC